GGTTGAGCTGCAAAACTGCAGCGTGTAAACCCTGCTGATCAAAAGGACCATCCATCTGTCCAGGGAACACACTCGCTGCCACTCTGAATAACACTCGGAGAGCGGGCACGCATTTTGTGTGTCATGTTTCTCATGGACATCAACCAGCCTAAAAACCCTAACTGCCATCACCCACTCCGGAGATTCTCCGGGGGGAACCCAAGGTGCGGGCTCCGACAGAAAAATGCTGTATGTGTGCCTCTGTACTAAACCCAGGCTGTGGTCTCACGTTAGAGCTGAGGCGAGCCAGCGCGCACTGAGAGGAGGCGTGAGCACTTTCTGAGTGAAAACGCAGTTTCGGTGGAGGCTACAGCTGTTGTGGAGAAAAAACGTTTACTCCCGCTGCGCGGTGAGATGATAGAAAACCGCAGACAATAAAAATGGGCACTGGCTAAGAGCGAGGGATTTTACCGGACTTGGTCTGCTGAAAAAACATAATTTTTAGCTGACGTGGCAGACGAGTGTCTTGTGATATTTACAGAACTGCGGTGCCATTTAAAACGCTGTTTAGAAGTTACCGGCTCGTTCCGTGTGGGGAAAGTGTGAAGAGAGGCAGCTGTGAGCTCAGTTGATCTGACAGTCAGGCTGGAATCAGATGAAACTTTACTTTCAGAGATGTTTCCGTTATATTTCAAAACATACCTCATCAAAAAACACACTCATTCCCCTCAAGGAGCTGTTCCCCGGTGGAGGGGGCTGGCGGAGGAGCGTAGTGTGAAGTCGCTGCCGCAGCTGTGGAGCACCTCTGCTGCTGTTGATGGCCACGACGGTCCCTCCAGCAGCCGGAGGGGCAGGAGGACGACTGTGACATCACCAGATGGTGTACAGTCTCTGAGACCTCCTCGGACCTCTGCGATTTCTCAAGAATGGTCCTGAAGTTGGCCCCAAACAGTGTGACGTCACAGCTGGACAGCGAGGCCAGATGGGGTCAGGGCGACAAGCCGGGTAGGAGCCAACCTTGCCACCAGATCATCCGATCAGGGCGGAGGGAGGCGAGGGATGGAAAGTCCCTTGTGTTAACATCCTCCTGGATTATGCTGGGCAGCTCCGAGAGGAGGGTGCCGACGGTTGGGAGCGGTGTGGTCGCAGACGTGGGAAGATCCGAGGTGGCTGAGCATCCGCTCGGCCGCTCGTCTTCCGTCACTACGCTCTCCAGGAGAGAGGGGGCAGCTCCGCATCGCCTTTCTCGGAGGAATCATTCGATTCACTGCGTGACTCTGCATCAAAGAAGGCGGTGGCGTTGTCCCATGCATAGCGTCCCCCCACAGAAAAAAACACTCATCGGAGCTGCTGCCAACGCTTTTTTTGAGGGAATCATACGATTCACCGCAAGAAAAAAAAACACGTTAGAAAAGGCGGTGGCGTCGTCCAGCGGGTAGCGGCCCGCCACGGAAAAGCACTCCTCGGCGCTTACCTTGAACAAGGCTGCTCGTCTCTGCTTCTCCTCGGGGAGGAAGAGCTCACCAGGACGGCAGGAGGTTGGCGTGGCGGAGACCCAGGCATCCTTAGCAAAGGTTGTGCCGGTCAAAGATGGACAAATTTTCCTTCTTTGTTCTTCTGACAGTGCTAGCTAGCTGTCAGAAGAAAAAATGGGAGCCGATTACCCGGTCTCACCGTAATTTATACAGATCGGGGGTGAGGCCCACACAGTAGGTGGGTGTGGACTAAAGTTTTCAGTGCTGCGCTGTGAGCGTAGGGATAAACCCACTAGCGATAGCCTTAAAGGGCGAAGCCTATACAAAATAGAACTTGTATATTATATTTATTACACACAGACTGATATATTTCAAATGTTTGTTTCTTTTAATGTTGATAATTATAAATGAAAACCCCAAATTCAGTATCTCAGAAAATTTGAATATTGTGAAAAGGTTCAATATTGAAGAGACCTGGTACCACACTATAATCAGCTAATTAACTCAAAACACTTGCAAAGGCCTTTAAATGGTCTCTCAGTCTAGTTCTGTAGGCTACACAATCATGGGGAAAACTGCTGACTTGACAGTTGTTCAAAATACAACCACTGACTCCTTGCACAAGGAGGGCAAGACACAAAAGGTCATTGCTAAATAGGCTGGCCGTTCACAGAGCTCTGTGTCCAAGCACATTAATAGAGAGGTGAAGGGAATGAAACGATGTGGTAGAAAAAAGTGTACAAGCAATAACAAAAAAGGTTGAATCATGTCATCTGGACATGTTTTTGAAACCATTAGTGAAAAGGCCAGACTTCAGGGGTATCTGAGGCAGGCTTGAAACACAAGAGTCAGGGTGGCTTCTGGGTAATACCAGATGGCTAGGCCTCAGACTGACGAAGCCTCTTGGATGAGGGGCGAAACGTTTCTTTTCTTTTTAACAAAAAAACGAAGTCCAGATGACATGATTCAACCTTTTTTGTTGTTATATACCTGGATGACTGAGAAAACAAACTTTGTGTACAAGCAATAGTGATAACTACACCCTGGAGAGGATGGTGAAACAAAACCCATTCCAAAATGTGGGGGAGATTCACAAAGAGTGGACTGCAGCTGGAGTCAGTGCTTCAAGAACCACCACCCTCAAGACGTATGCAAGACAAGGGTTTCAACTGTCACATTCCTTGTGTCAAGCCAGTCTTGAACAAGAGGCAGCGTCAGAAGCGCTTCACCTGGGACTGCTGCTGAGTGGTCCAAAGTTTTGTTCTTTGATGAAAGTAAATTTTGCATTTTCTTTGGAAATCAAGGTCCCAGAGTCTGGAGGAAGAGAGGAGAGGCACAGAATCCACGTTGCTTGAGGTCCAGTGTCAAGTTTCCACAGTCATTGATGGTTCGGGGCCATGTCATCTGCTGGTGTTGGTTCACTGTGTTTTCTGAAGTCCAAGGTCAACGCAGCTGTCTACCAGGAAGTTTTAGAGCACTTCATGCTTCCTGCTGCTGACCAACTTTATGGAGATGCAGATTTTGTTTTCTAACAAGACTTGGCACCTCCACAGTGCCAAAGCTACCAGTACCTGGTTTAAGGACCATGGTATCCCTGTTCTTAATTGGCCAGCAACCTCACCTGATCTTAACCCATCCATAGAAAATCTATGGGGTATTGTGAAGAGGAAGCTGATACATCAGACCCAAGAATTCAGAAGAGCTGAAGGCCACTATCAGAGCAACCTGGGCTCATAACACCTGAGAAGTGCCACACACTGATCAACTCCATGCCACACTGCATTGCTGCAGTAATCCAGGCAAAAGGAGCAACAACTAAGTATTGATGCTGTACATGCTCATACTTTTCATGTTTATACTTTTCAGTTGTCCAACATTTCTAAAAAAACTTTTTTTATTGGTCTTAAGTAATTTTCTAATTTTCTGAGATACTGAATTTGGGGTTTTCATTAGTTGTCAGTTATAATCATCATCAGTAAAAGAAATAAACATTTGAAATAAATCAATTTGTGTGAAATGAATGAGTAAAATATACAAGTTTCACTTTTTGAATGGAATTACTGAAATAAATCAACGTTTTTCCATGACATTTTGAATTTTATGATCAGCACCTGTAGAGTGCTTTATGAATGGGTAAATGAGGTCACATATTTAAAGCTCTTTGTGTCTTAATAAGATAGAAAGGTGCTATATAAGTACAGTCCATTTACCATAACTTCCAAGTTCCACGTTATGTCTGCAGATCATCTTGACCTCTGATAAATTACAGAGGAACTCACAATGATTCCTTTTGTTTGAAGCAATTCATATTAGCTGCATGATATACGTCTCTACTTTTAAAGCACTGCAAAAAAAAAAAAAAAGCCCAAAACAAAACAAACAAACAAACAAAAAAAACTAAAGCAACACATTGTTGGCCAAAGTCCTGCAGAGCAATAAAAGAACTGAGTGAAACAAATAATTCAAAACACATTAAAATTTTAAACAAGAAAAAAAAAGATTGTTATATATTTAATCTGTAAATAAATAAAAAAAACAGAGAAAATACTGTTTTAAGAGAATTTAAAAACAGCAAGTAGACCTGCTTGATGTGTAAGACAGCCGTTTGTGGGCAGAGACTGAAAACACTCAGCCACCTCTCAACTATTTGCAGAAACTTATTGAAATTCAGTTTCTTCGGTTTCAATTTGCACAATACAAATCCAGTTCTGGTGGCTCAAGTTTCTGCGCATACTTTTTGGACTTTGGGCCAAAAAGGATCTTTAAAATCAATCTGAAAACAAACTGGAAGCCTCTAGTGATGTTAAGACATGGGTAGCAGGTGCTGGTGTTGTGTGCAGCAGCATCGACAGGCTCAGCCCAACATAAAGTGCACTGCAGTAATAAAAACAAGTCGAGATAAAAGCATGGATCTTAAAATGATGCTGAGGCTGCAACTTGGTCAAACTGCCCAACAGAACAAAAAAAAATCTTAATCCTGTATGTTCAGTTTGAGAGACAAATCACTTAAACAAGAACTATTTTATCTCTGACAGCTGCAGCACTAACATCTGGATAAACCTTAGTTTTGTTTTAATTATAAAAAGCAGTGCATAGATTCATGTAAGTGAATAACATCCTGAATCAGACAAGCAGTAGTAATAAGTCTCCTTTTATTTGAAGAGGAATATAAAACAGGTTGTACTTTTTCCACATTTTAAAAACATGAAGCATGAAACAACTCTTAAACGTGCAGCCTGAACCTTTCAGTCTGTGCGTCCGAGAAACGAACCGTGAACAGTGCAGTTCTGATACAAACAGAACATTTTCAAGAAACATCTTTATCAAAACAGCTGAACAAAAAACAACCGTCAGTGCATTTAGCTAACAAACTATGGAAAGCCCTTTTCAATATGAACATGTCACAAATCACCTCCTCAGATGGATTTAAATACACACATCTTAAGAGAAAATACAACTCGAGTGCATAAATCTATTCATTTACTCAGGTATTTTTTCCACATGGAACAAACCGGCATTCCATAAACTTTGAGCTGAAGAGTTTGGGAGCGTCTGATGGAATCACCACTTGCTCCTCACATGCTTCTTCTCCCTCCCCAGCAGCGACTTTCCCTGCCTCTTCCTACCAGCTGTTGGACTCTCCTGCAGCAAGGTTAGCTGTTCCTGCACAGTGTCGGAGTTTACCTCTGTCGCCATGGGAACGTGTGCATTAGGCACAGGGAACGCCTGCAGGTTCAGTGTCTGTGTGAGGTACATGGGGGCGGAGCCGAGCAGAGCTTTGACAGCTTCGAACAGCAGCAGGTTGTTCTTCGGCTCGGGTGGACTGGTGGGTTCTGTTCAAACACAACGCTAGAACGAGACCAAGATAAAAACAAGTCTCCAGGTGGGTCTGCAACTTACCGGTAACTTTTCCTGCTGCAGCCTGCTGCTTCTCTTGCAGCTTCTTCTTGAGAGCTGAAACCTCGGCCTGCAGCGCTTCAACCGCACACTCGCTCTCCTCCACGTCTCTGCACGATTTCTGTCCACAAAACACACAGAGTGGGTGAAGAAGCACTGGACAATCAAACAGCACCTCACACACACACCCTCACCTGCAGCTCCCCCTGCAGTGACTCGTTCATCTTATTCACTTCGTTCACCTCCTTCAACAGCCCGTTGGAGGAGAAGAACTTGGACCTGAAACAGAGGGAGTGGTGAGGTGAAACGTGAACACAACGTGACACTGCGGGTGTGTGCTCGAAGATACCCGTGCTTCTTCATGGTGAGGTTGTATCCTGCTGCAGAGCACGGAGCTGACACCTTCCAGTAGGCCTGCTGCTCCAACAGACCCAAGTTGGTGACCAGAACTGGAATGTTGACGAGGCACCTTCACAGGAACGACACGACAAATAAAACAAAATCAGAGCTTTGTATTTATTGAACACTAAAAATATGCTGCTGATTGCACACGTCATGCATTTATTAGTAAACATCAGCATCTGGATAAAGAACACTCTTCCTACACACTTACATTAATGTGGTGCTGGATTATAAGTAAAGTTTCTAAAGTTCTTTGAATAAATCTATGGTTTAGCGCCATCTACTGATAAAAGTGGGTACTACATCAAATCTACATAATTTGTGCTATTAATTCTAATTTATTATTTGTTAGCAACAGTTGGTCTTCAACCACTGGATTGCAATTTTTAATGGATATAAAGTAATTTTGGAAAGTATTTTTTATCCAAAGCCCCCCCAAGTAAATTTATCAAAAGTAAACTTTTTTATTTTTCTCTTTGATTTTGATGTTAGCAACAATTTATTGAAATCCATCCATGTTCTAGAATTGCGCCGCTCAAGGTGGCTGCATGTTGGAGCAGCTCTGTTACTTTCATTCTAAGATTTTGCTTTTAGAAACTTTAATTCTTCTTTTTCTGGATGTAAATCACATTTTTTTAAATGGTTGTTTCCTCTGGTATCAGATGCTGTGCAGCTGGAAGGATTTTTGCTGAAACTTTTATAGTTTTGGACATTTGTTATGATGCGTAACCTTGGCAACAAGGCATTTTCTACAACCAGCAGCAGCTGATTAACATCTCAAAAGCTCAACTAATATCTCAACTACAGCCCAAATCTCAAATGAGTTGAAAGGATGTTCTGTGGATGCATTCTCATCTACCTGCCAGCTGTGCTCGAGTGTCTGACCACTGAAATCCTGGAACTAACAGGAAACACGGCTCATGACAGCGGAAGGACAGGACCGTCCCTCAGCACCTACAGTTGGCTGTCCGCAGTGACGAGGAGCTCGGCAGACTGCTGGGAGGAGTGACCATCGCTCTGGAAGGAGTTCTGCCTGACATTCGGGCGATCCTACAGCCCGGGGGACCCGAGAGGCCAGTCAAGTCTGGATGGATGTATCAGACGGCATCTGCAGCCAGTTTCTTAGGATCCACTGTGGGATGGACCTTTACAAGAGATCCTTCCTGCCTACAGCCATCAGCATCTATAACATCTCAATGAAATGAGGATCACGAGTTACAACAACAAACAATTTCCCTTTGGGATTAATAAAGTATTTTTGAATTGAATTGAGTTGAATTGAATAGAATGAACTAACCAACCAACCCATCCATCCATCCTTTTCCACTTATTCCTGTCTTCTGGGAGGACTCCATGACGTTCCCAGGCCAACCGAGAGACATACTCCAGCATCTTCTGGGCCTTCCCTGGAATCTCCTCCCAGTCTGACATGCCCGAACCACCTCAACTGGCTCCTCTCCATGTGGAGGAGCAGCGGTTCTACTCCGAGTCTCTCCTGATAACTGAACTTCTCTTCTTACCTCTAAGGGAGAGTCCAGCTACTGCAGAGTAAACTCATTTCAACCTCCTGTATCCATGAGCTCATTCTTTCAGTCACTACCGAAGGATCATAGGTGAGGGTAGGAACGTAGACCGACCGGTAAACAAAGAGCTTTGGCTTACAGCTCAGCTCTCTCTTCACCACAACGGACCGGCGCAGTGTCCACAATATTGTAGATTCTGCACCAATCCGTCTGTAAATCTCACGCTTCATTCTTCCCTCACTCGTGAACAAAACCCCGAGATACTTGAACTCTTCCACTTGAGGCAGAACCTCACCATCAACCTGAAGAGTCATTATTTTTATCAGATAAGACACAAACTATTTTATCTTTAACTGCTCTCCTTTAATCTTAAATATCTATGGGTTAGGGTTTGATCGTGTGCTACTTTAGTCAATTCAACTAATGTTTATTCCTTCACCTCATAAAACGTTTAGCAGTTAGTTTTACAGAAAATCAACTGAGAAACAGAGACGAGTCCAAGGTGTCTGGTTAACTAATCCCCTGCCCTAATCAACAAGTGACCGCCCCCAGACAGCAGACCTGTGCGTGTCACCTGCTGCGGGAGATGAAGGCAGAGTACTCCATCCTGTGAGTGGAGCCAGTCAGTGTCACTCTGCTGGATGTCAGCAGCATGAAGATCATGTGTGGGTTTGACAGAGCGCTCTTCAGCTTTTCATGGACCAGCTTCTCCCTGAACGTCATGTGCTGCTCCGTGTTCCTGCGCTGCCGGTACCAGCCGATCACTTTATCCTGCTCCAACCAAACACGCTTTTTCACTTTTAAAAAGTCATTTCCAAAATCGCCCTCTGAAAATGTCTAAGTCACGCACTTCACAATAAACTTGTCACATCGACACTAAAGAACCCAAATACACGTTGATCTCTCACCTGCTTGTTGTCTGCCAGCATCTTCTGCAGAGCGTCCATGTTCACCTCCCCACAGCTTGTGTACAAACTGATACATACACACACGATCACACTGTAATCTCATGGTTGAAACAGTACATCGTCATCTGTGCAGGACTCACGTGCTCAGACTGTGGCAAGCGATGTGCTTCTGGATGTCTGTCACACAAACAATATTCACAGTAATCGAGCTGAAATACTTAAACTCTCACAGAATATTGTCTTTTAAATGTACCAGAGCATTTAGCCTAACTTAGATTAACTAAGAGTATTCAGAGTTTCATTAAGGTGTCAGCAGTAATAGTACATTTTCTGTTTATGCATAAAATGTAATCCTGTCAGGCAGATTCACCTTAAAATTTAGAGGACATTAAAGCACAGAGTGAAGGAAACTTACTGTAAACTTCTTCAATGTGGATGTGATCAGACTGCGAGTCACTGATGGTGACCTGCTCATCGACCCTGCTCTCTCCAAGGACAAGACCCTCCTGACAGACAGGGGAACAGAAACCACACATCTGAGTAGAAATGACAGATTGCATCACTGCTTTATGATGTCCAACTGTGTGCGATGGTGACCATTTATTTTATATGTACTGGGTGTGTGTTCACTCAGTGGCTGGTTGTAAATGATCACTATTTTTAATGCCAAATGTCTGCCGAATTGAAGGGCAGAGTGTAAATATTGTAACTATTCCTCAATAATTGTCACATTTCTGTTTATTCTTTTCTGAACTTTATTTCATTTAGTTGAACATGACATTTAAATGGAGTCTGGTGTGACAGCTGTTCGTGTCATTTTAAAAAGTTGCACATACAGATTTAAATGTATTAAAATAGTAATTATACATTCCCTCCACCAAACTATATATTAAAAGTTATTCATTCTAAATTTAAAAACAAATGACCGAACTTTAATCAGTACTAGTTGAAAAGGTTGGGGCACCAAGTTCGTAGTGTTTGCTAACTTTCCTTCACAGCTGAAAATACTCAGCATGACCAGCATTCAGCTCTACATAAATAACACAACTGAACTTTATGAAGTTATGAAAGAGTTTCTCACCACGTCCGAGTCACTGTTAACATGTTGGAACATGAGAGAAGCTAAAACAGTCCCTGACAAACGGAGAATCGGCTCCGCCATCTTCAAAATATGAAGCGCGAACGACGGTGGCCACGAAGTCCAAAATACCTCAACACTGGACAAAACGCAACAATGAAACTTTCAACAAGACACCTGCTGGCACCGCAAACAAACAAACAAACAAACAAGCAAACAAAAATAAGTTTAGAACCATTCAGTACATTTTGTTCGTGTTTCTTTGAAAATTAATTTTAAGTTTAAAAAAATTACTTAAATAACAAATAGCATAAAAATGTAAATCTGTTTAAATATTTCAGGATTTACAAATCTCTCAAGTACAAAGTTTTTACTTTAAAACACTCAAAACGTTCAGCTGCACTTTTATCTCAGCTGTTAGAGGATTTTGCATGACAGCTAAGATTGAACCACGGTGGTGGACTTTTTGTGAAAAAACAAGCAAAACAGCAAACAGACGGTTGAAGTAAGTTTGTGTGAAACTGTTTTAAATTTAAATCACAGCATGTAGTCTATATTCCTAAAATCAGAGTCAAAGTTCTTAACTGTATTGAGTCCAAGTAAATATTTATATATTAAACAGGTTTTCTTGAAGTACTTTTCAGCTGTACAGTACGAGTACCCTAATAAGTAATATTTGTTTGATTTGTGTTCTTGCTGCAAGAAGACAGTTTTTCATTCAGCCTTTATTTAGACATTTTAATCGATTTCCTTTCAGCTGAAATGTAACAGAATGTTTCATGTTACAGATAAATAAACTGGAACAAGTTTTTTTTCTCCATGCTACACACATTCTGTACACCTATTTGTAAAGATCACTAAAGAAAGTCTAGAAGCAAAACAGTGAAATGAAAATCCCCCAAGGACTTGTACAGTGCTGCAACTTTTACAATGTCTGACAACAGAATGATAGTAGTGTTTATACTAATCGTTACAAGAGAGTCCAGCTGGAGCCTCTCCGGGTACAGTTTTCTCCCGTTAGGTTAATTGCAGATTGCCATTAGGAGTGAGTGTGTGCTTTGTAGTTTCATGTTAACGTGCTGGTCCTGCTATGGACTGACAGCCTCGGCCTATTCTGTTTGTATTTTTCCTGTATGACACCTTAAAGTGATTCCTGTTATGAAATGGCAGTACACTAACTCAGATGAGTTTAAATTACTCTGGTACTCAAAAGAATTTGAGACCATCACTGCACAATGTCCTAATTTATTAAAACCTTTAACAATATGATTTTTTTCAAAACACCCAAGTCCATGCTCAATAATCCAGGTACAAAATCCAACAATGTTCAGTCAGGTCATGTGGACGGTTTCTTTTTTTGTGCTGAGACATTTCATCCATCATCCAATGGACTTCTTCAAATTCTGAGGAACCACCTAATAAAACTGATTCTCCACCAACTGCATACTCCATAGTGGGGGAAAAAAAAAGTTTACTGGTGCTAAGATATGGTCTGGTGCACGCCCTCTCCCTCATCAACTCCTCTGAGACAGCCATGTGAAAGTGGTTCAAAACACCAGCACAAAAAAAGAACCGTCCAGACGACCTGACTGAACATTGAATGTTTTTTATCTTCATGACACATTCATCCAACTACTTACCTCCAAGAGTTTCACATGTATTGTTTTAAAACAACCTAGTCAGTCATAATTATGTTTAAACTTTAAAAACATTAGTCCTCTGAGTAAATGTTTAGTTTGAAACTAATGATTCTTGTGTTTTGTGCTTTTGGCTGAGCTGCGCTGTGCTACACTTTATGGCCACATGAGGGCGGAAGAGGCTTATAATTTGTAACAAGTCTAAACTGCCAGATGATGTGATTCACCAGTTTCCCACAGCCTTGTCTGTAAAGGGCCTCCTGGTGCCAGAGCCAAACCTTAGTACGCAAATCTGTGACAGACGGCAAACTAATTCAGAGATGGTGAATTGGCTTTTTGATTGTGGACGTAGGAACAATGGCAAATCAGCAATAACAAATCGGAACATGATTACATTTAAATCAAACACAGTGTTTTCTCATCCAGCGCGGACATGCACATTAGATGGAGCAGTGAGCACAGACTGAAGCCTGTAGCAAAGTAGCAGGTTTCTGTTTCAGGTGAGTGAATATTCTAACGTGTTATTTTACGTTCAAACTGAGACGACGATAATCTGCAGTTTGAGCTCGTTAGTTGGCTAAATTGAGCCATGCCAGGTTCATAACCTAAATTTAATATTGCTTTTTGTTCTTTTACCATCACATTTTATAATAAAAAAAAATTCTCACAGTAATTGCTAAAATTATATTTATATATATATATATATATATATATATATATATAAAATTCAGACATTGCATAGAAACTTCAATTATTACAGGAAGAAATAAGTTGTTTTGTGACACTTTTGTTAAAACACCAAAATAATGTTTTTACAATGTTAAATGACTTCCATTTTGATAATAAATGGGTTATGATCAAAAGATGCACAGTGACCACACTCGCTGTTCATTAAAAATATCAAAACTGCTGGTATTGTGCCACACCGTCTGAATCAACATTATTTTAAACAATTATTTAACTTTTGTTGTCACACAATAGATCCATAAATGGCAATGGACTTACAGACTAGTGGTGGTTTTATGTAGTATGGTGTCCAGCTACCAGATAAATACTGTGGTAAATAACAAGAAAGAAACCTATCAATCAGAGCAATAACCAACATATATAAATATATATATATATATATATTACAGTGGAAAATACATTCTGACACATGTAAACCATTGTGCAGCAAATAAGTGATGATAAAATGGAGTATAAATTAAATATGTTCATGCATCTGAACTTACTTGCTATAAAAACAATTGAAACATCTTCACATCTTCAAATTCTTGGCTTTTGTCACGTCATTTTGCTCACTCTCTCCCATCGTATCATGAGTAACAGCAAAGAACGGCAGAAGTGCAGTCAAAAAAATCCAATTTGAAATTAAAATAAAATTAAAAAAGGAAAAATGTTCAGTTTAATTAGAAAGAAATGCTCTAAAGAAAACTCTTCTTAAAATACTGCATGATAATGACAAATAAGCATCAGCATCACAGACTGCCACGGGTGCTGGAAAACATTAACCTTGGTTCATTTAGCCTCCTTTGTCATTTAATTTGTAGAAAATTTAATTGAAATGGTTTTAAGAAGAAACAAAAAAAGTTATTGAACCAAATGACCTCTGAATCATAATGCCATTTAGTTTCTAAAGTTGCAATGCAATAAAAAATAAGATGAGGCTTATTTGAATCACGACTCAGCTGTCATTTAAAATTCACACAAAGCTCAGGCTGTTAATTAATCCTGAAGTAGTTATTAGGTATAGTGGCATTTAGATCAGGGCGAAGTTATTTAGATCATCAAAGCTGCCTTTATGAGGGAAAAGGATGAGCACTCCCATCCAAACTTTTGGGATCATGCAGAACGGCAAACATTTGGAAAAGCATGTTAAAAGCTGCTTGGACATCACACGTACAATGGTTTATTACATCGGCAAACACTTTTTTTTTAAATACTGAAAGTTGATCAAGCTCCAAGGACATTTTTTATACGGCAGAAGTGAAATGAAAAGGATGTTTTGATTAGATGAAACATTAAGGCGTGCTGCATGACTATGTGCGAGCACTTTGGCTTTTAGATAAACGATGTGCTGGTTTAAAGTCAAATTAGTGCAAAATATGATTTGGAGCCACGTTTAAAGTCATTCACAACATGTGACTGTGACTGACTCTGTACTGCTCTATGACCCTCTAAGAGTGAGAACTCAACACTCATTTCATCTGGGGGGAGACACAGCAGAATGTCACACTTTAAAAACTAAAGCATTTCAGACAAGTCCCATACTCAGCACTAGAGCTGTCATTTCTAACCCGAACCCAGAGCCCGACCCGGATTACAGCCGTGCCGTGTCATAATAATGTGCTTCATGTGCGGGCCGGGCCAGTGTCGGGCTTTTGATTGTGTCAGCGGACGCTCGCGGCTGACGATACAATTATATGGCAACATGGATTGCCATACCTTCACCAGCTTCTCAGCCGTGCGGCCATTTGACCGCGCGCTGACCGAAAATGGACGGACGTGCGTGGCCAACGACTCAAACAGGTGAGATCCCAAAATATCTTGCAGACATGTCAGAGCAGGGTCCGTGTCTGAATAATGCAGATTGCAGCAGAAGCAGGGATTTAATGCACTTTGACGACCATGAGAAGACTAACACCCCGTCAGCTCTGATCTTCTACCCCATTAGCAGTGCATGTCCGCCTATCATTAATAACTATATAAGCAGTCAAAGCTTAATTAAAAAATGTTGGGGGGGTTGGGTTCCGACCTGTGATTACTGTTAATTCGTCAGGTTGAGTGGGGTTCAGAAATGATGGCTATGGGCTGGGGCCGGGTCGGATCGGATTTTTTGGGCTCGACTGCAACTCTACCCAGCAGACAACCTATAGAACATGTCACATTTACTTTTGTTCACTGTGCAAAATGTTGAATCGTCTCTGTAAAAGTCACGTTACAGTTGCTTGAACTTTTGTGTGTGGAGTTCATTATTCAGTTCAACCTTTATTTATACAGGTTAGTCCCATTGAGCCTCGGGGACCCAATTACAAGACAGACCTGTTTTAAACAAAGAGTGATGACAACAGTGGACAATCATAAAGAAAGTATGTAAACTGCGAAGAATAAATGAAAGAAAATGGTAATAAAAGCAGCTAGATTACAAAGCGATGTAAAATACTAAAAACAGGAGCATGTCTGCGTTGGTTTTTTTCCAGGAACTTAGAAGATATTTTTGAAGCCACTTAGAGAGGTCAAGGTCGAGAGCTTCAGATGTTTTTGTAAGATATTCCAGGAAACAGGAGCAGAGTAGGAGAAGGCCCTTTTGTCTAGTTCAGTCCTCACTGAGGGAACACTGCAGGTAATAATGTCCTGAGAGCGCACGCTGTAGCTGCACTCACACAGAGACATGTAGGTGGAGATGTATGAAGGCAGCAGACCAAGAAGTGATTCAAAGATGAAAATGTACCAGTGTACCTAA